TTTTTTTTTGAGTCGTAGTCTCACTCTGTCGCCCAGACTGGAGTGCAGTGGCCGCTCCCAGCCACCGCAGCCTCGACCTGCTGGGCTCCAGCGATCCTTTCGCCTCAGCCTTCCAAGTAGCTGGAATTACAGGCATGCGCTACCATGCCCGGCTGATTTTTTGATTTATTGTAGAGATGAGGTCTCACTGCCCAGGCGGGTCTCGAACCCGCGGGCTCAGGCAATCCACTCACCTCAGCCTCCCAAAGGCGCGGGATTACAGGCTAAGCCACCAAGCCCGGCTCTGACTCATTTTGTATTTATTGTAGCGATGAGGTCTCACCAAGTTGCCCGAGCTGGTCTCGAACCCGCAGGCTCAGGCAATCCTCTCACCTCGGCCTCCCAAAGTGCTGGGGTTACAGCTTGAGCCATTGCGCCCGGCCTGTATACACATTTTAAGAGATGTTATCTATGTATTACTTTTCAAAGTTGAACTGAATTATGGTAGCAATGCGTAGTATGACATCCACTCAAAAGATGGCGTTCACCAAATGAATGCTAGTGTCACCATGCGACAGGCAGGACAGTCAAAGAAAATGGCAGAAGCATGGTGGTTGTCCGAGGAGTGCCAGACCATTTCGAAGTGGTATGTGAAATTCGAGAAAGTCGTGGAAGTACAACAATGGAGGCGTGAGTATGCAACAAAACCTCCAACATGCCTGACCACTGCACACATTCAGGATACGTTTGAGATGCCTAGTCCTGTGTGGGATGTGCACGAGGGAAAATCCGGGAGGCTTCACACAGCAACAAGTCCTGTAATCATTTGCCATCATCAGAAGTGTCTGATGGGGAACCACTTTGAGCACCTTTTGTCACTGCAGAAGTCAAACATCACTTGCAGTCATCTTTTGTTATCAGTATATATTGAGTATTACAATGTTAATAGTTTTTTTCTTTCTTTTTTCTTTTTTTTTTTTTTGAGTTGGAGTCTCACTCTGTCGCCCAGACTGGAGGGCAGTGGCCGCTCCCGGCCACCGCAGCCTCGACTTGCTGGGCTCCGGCGATCCTTCTGCCTCAGCCTTCCAAGTAGTTGGAACTACAGGTGCACGCTACCACACCCGGCTAGTTGTTTGATTTATTGTAGAGATGAGGTCTCACCAAGTTGCCCAGGCAGGTCTCGAACCCGCGGGCTCAGGTAATCCACTCACCTCAGCCTCCCAAAGGCACGGGATTATAGGCTGAGCCACCGAGCCTGGCTGTTTTTTCCTTTCTTAAAATGTGTATACTTTTTTTGGCACCCTCTGTATACACACACACACACACACACACACACCATGAGAAGCTAGCATTCCATGACCCATTTTGCTTGTAAATAATGCTTCAAACAACAGTGAAGTTTTCCCAGGGCTTGGTGGGATGACTGTCTTCCCTTATTTTTGCTTGCATTTACAAATGAATCCAAACTGGCATTTTTCTTTTCATTTTTTTTTCCTCAAATTCATCACTTAGGTATTACCAGGGAGGGGAGAGGGAAAGCATCTAATGCTTAGAAGATGCTCTGATGCTGTCCTATTGCCACAAAAAAATAAAAATCTTCAATGGCATCTGCCGGTCTCCTTGTCCCTGAAGCGTTGCTGCTGCCCATGTCATTCAGGGCACTGGTCTCAAGCCGCGGGCAAGTCTGTCAGCTCTGAGCTTCACAAACCCTCTTGGACTTCCCAGCCCCACAGAAGACGGATGTCCCCCAGTGTCGCGCGCCTGATGCTGTAATGACTTTCTTTTTTTTTGAGTTGGAGTCTCACTCTGTCACCCAGACTGGAGTGCAGTGGCCGCTCCCGGTCACCGATGCCTCGACCTGCTGGGCTCCGGCGATCCTTCCGCCTCAGCCTTCCGAGTAGCCGGAATTGCAGGCACACGCTACCACGCCCTGCTAATTTTTTTGATTTATTGTAGAGATGAGGTCTCGCCAAGTTGCCCAGGCGGGTCTCGAACCCGCGGGCTCAGGCAATCCTCTCACCTCAGCCTCCCAAAGTGCTGGGATTACAGGCTGAGCCACCGAGCCCGGCTTGTAATGACTTTCCAAAAACTCGTCTTGAGCAAATAGTCCTACCCATACTCCTCCGAGAAGCCCACTTGATCCTGTAATTACACATGGTCTTTGGGCTCGTGTATGGTCTCTGGATCACCTGGGCCCCGGTTCACACAGGCCAGCCTCC